GACAAAATTCCTTCATGTTACAAGGAAAAAAAGTCATGTTCTATATCAACCCCTTGCTCTGAGCCCCACAACAACAGCTAGGGGTGCCCCAACTCTTTTTGCAATGAAGGTGGGGGGCAAAGTAGTTGAGATAGTCCCACACTACCAATGAAATTGCAATAAATATTTTAAAAAGAGATTAGGCAGTATATATTTTATTTATTTACCATTATTTAACCAGGCAAGTCCCATTGAGATCTCAGGTCTCTTTTTCAAGGGTGGCCTGGGCCTGAAGGCAACCTATTGTACATGTTTTTTGGGGGTGGGGGAAACCAGAGTACCCGGAGAAAACCCACATTATAATGGGTGCGTATTTGCAGCAGAGGTCAGACCGGAGCGGAGACGGAACGCATGTAGTGTAAATTAGGGGTAATGAATCTTATTTAATTACGTTTATTTAGACAGATAATCCCATTTACAATCCCATTTACAAGAGAAACCTGTAACACACACATCAGTTACACACAAAAAAACATACAACATTATGTTGACATTTAAGAGAGAGCAAAGTTAAACAAATCCAAACGTAAAAAACAGGAACAAGTTTAAAATGACAATTCTCCTTTTTCTTTAAAATGTGTTTAAAATGCCCCAGTGGGATCAAACTGGACAGTTTCAGTGTACTCCAGAAGACAGACTAGAATAGGAGAAGGCAGGAAATAAAATCCTAGGAGTGTACCTATGACTATATCTTGATTTAAGGACATGCTAATTATTTTGTTGCCCATTTTCATCCACAGTACACCAACCACAGGACCATTTTTTACCCTCCAATTTATAATTTAATGAAGTGGAGTACAGTCTATAAATGACACTGACCTGGTGATGGCTTTATGACATTTAGAGCTGACTGGTGATTAATAAAGAGTCAATTTTTGTTTTAAAATTCCAGTTGTCTGAAGAGCATCAAAACCAGAAATAAAAGTAACAACTGATTTTTTTTGTTTCTGATTTTCTTTATTTTATGAAAATTAAGAGAATGTGATCAATTTGCAGAGGCATTTTACTATAAACAGATCAATCAGCTGTTAAAGTTTTGTCCTGTGAATGTGTTACTGTGTGTATTTCTGGATCAACACCATCAAAGGGTGAGTTTTACTCTTTTGAGAAAACTTTATAAAAGACGCAGTAAAGATACTTCCATGTACTGACCCATTCCAGCCTTGCCATCTGGGTAGGTGTAGACCTGGCCGTTGTTCTTGATGATAGGCAGGCTGGCAGGGATGGAGGGCACCACCTCATCTTCGCTGTCCTCTGAGCTGGAGCTGCTGGTGGACTCCTCGCTGCAGCTGTCGTAGCCATCATACATCCCAAACGAGTCTCGCCGCTTCCGATCTGAACGTTGGGAGCGTTCAGCCTTCACGTGTGCAAACAACAAACACAAAGTAAATGAATTAATTCTGTATTCAAAACCCTCGCTGTCCTCTGTCATAAAAACTACCTATACAAACAGCAACAAAACTACAATCAAAGTAATTTACAATTGATCAGTTATATATTATTTAAACCTACATTTCAAAGATGAGTGTATATTTATTTTGGTTTATTTGGATCTTAAGAATCTGAAGGTTATAATAAACATCCAAAAGAACAAAGTACACATCTTACTTAAAAAAAAAAAAAACAGCTGAAAGTGGCTATTCTCCAGTAGAAAATCTTAGTATAATATTAAATGTATATTAGATATATGCTTGTCTTGCATTTGCTTTTGTACTAATATTTGTATATTTGATTGCATTGTTTTTTTTGTTGTTGTTTTATGAATTAATATTTGTATGATTGTATTACCAAGTTTATTTTCATGTCATTTATTGTGATGATGTTGTGATGTTATTGTTAATGTTTCATGTGGAACCCAGGAAGAAGAGTTATTGCTGAAGTAATAACTAATGGGGATCCTTAATAAACTAAACTAAACTAAACATCTGTGAAAATCAACCAGCTGCTTCAGGTCAGGACAGCTCTTTCCTCATTTAATCTGCAGGTCAGATGCTCACAGACAGTCTTTATTATCAAATGTTTGTGCATACATCTGATTATGATTAAATACTACCATTATTTGTGTTATTTTTCATTAAAGCTACAAGAGATAAAGATTGTGGCTGAAAGAATATGTATCATTTCTCACAGGTAATATTGTGACTTTTATCTAGTTATGCTATTATTTTAAAGTAAAGTGAAGTTCTGCATCTAAAAAAATCAATAAAATTCTTGTTTTTAGTTTAGGCGCAAAACGAATTTGTCAAGTTAATATCGTGCATTTGTGTACTTACTTTGAAATGCAAACATAGTTTGCAGGAATAAAGAGTAAAGTTTGCAAAGTGAAGCACATTTCAGGAAGGAAGTTTCATTTCTGTTATGGCAATATTTATTTATCAAAGACAGAAATACGTGGTCCAAGAATGAAGGTACTCCGTGAGATGATCAGCTGTTTTACTGCAACAACAGGAAACACAGAGAACAACCTGGCCTGTCTCTGTGCCTCGGCTTCTCTCTGTCACTGTCTCTCCACACTACTGTTGAACACTGTGTCTCGAAAGGCCTCATATTAATAAACACCATTATGTCATCTTAGCAAGATTTGAAACAAGGTCAATGGAAAACGCAAAGATAAACACAAGTGATATCTAAGAACGACTGTTAATCATTTTACCTGCAGATGAACAGCATGGAATAAAAACCTAGGTCATTAAAGGTTGTCATGAATTACTTGCTTAAACATAAAAGTTTTAGTTCCATTACAATTTCTGTATTCTTTTAAGTCAAATATTTATTTTTGCTTTAAGCCACAAGTGTTTATTTCATAAAGTTCAGTGATGTAGTTACACATAATAATAAAGATTATAAATGGTTGTGTTCAGCTGAAACCGTGGCCCAGTCATTTCAAACTGCCTCTCCTGGAACCGGAACACCGTTTAATGTTTATTTACTTCCTCCTCAGTTCATTACTGGGGATTTTTAAACAAGCCGAGGGAAATAAAAAAATATGAGGGGAAAAATACGTGTAAATTAATCTCAAACCATTTTTTTTTTTAATTTACAACAAAATGCGCATTAAAAAGTAAGAACGGACTTCTTACACATAGTTTATCGGGGCTTGTTGCGCTAAGTAGCGCTAGCACAATTAGCTAGCGGAAACCCGCTTTTACAGTTGTAATTCATTAACTCTCATTCCGTTTTTCACCTGTGTAACAAACCTGCATTAATTTGTGTTAAATTAGAGACATTATATATATTTTTCTGTATTTACGAGTAGACTATTAGGGGAGCTTTCTGAATAATAAGAGCTGAGTGAAGCACCAGCTAGCTACCATAAACAAAATAACAACAAAGGGAAAGCGCTAGCTTCTTCCTGAGAACACGGAGGCCCCAAAATGTTTCAAACTCTCTCACCAAATCCCGAGTGTCCTCCATCAGCCCCTCATATAGAAAACTGGTAATTTATTTCTTCTGCACAATGTAAAAAAAAACTCCCGCGCTGTGGATAACCCTGGCTATGGAAAACTATGGTCTAAATAAATACTACTAAGCAGGATATCAACAAATTACTCGACCGCTTCTGCGCATGTGCGAGCGTAACCTACTTTTCTGTGATTGGCCAATCCCCAATCGACATCATCGACTAAAACAAAACAGAAAACTCTGCAAAGGAAGTCATTTATTGAATACAGGTCAGTCTGTACACCAGGAAAACAACCTGGCCTTAGCTTCGTCAGTAAATGACTGAACACAGTCTATGGAACACATTCAATAATAATATAGGTTTTATTTCCAAAATATAATATAT